GGCCTAAAATCCAAGTTGATAGAGAATCTTCATTGATAATCCCCCCAGATTCATCCTGGCCAACAGAGGGCCTGGGGTTCTGGTGCAGCCTGGTGAGGAAAATGTTTCGCTGCCAGCTTGTTGAGATACTTAATGTTTAGAACAATAAATGGACACTCTGCACCCCAGAGAGCACTTTCAGTCATGTAGCTTCGTTGTAGGATTGGGACCAAATGGGGGTCCAAAGCAGTAGGAAAGTGTCAAGCCACCCTTTTGGGACTCTTTGAATGGGTTTCCTTTTCTCATCTCTCTGAACCGAGGCTTTCTGAGTGTCTGGTTCCCAGGCTGTTCACAAAAGAGATGGTCATCAGGGTTTTGGTCATAGGGTATGAATGGGAATAGATGCCCTGGGGGAGCAGTCAAGGGGTGTAGGCTGGGGTCATGGGATGAGGGCCTCTTATGAGGCTAAGCAGACTGGGGCCGTCCAAGGGCAGTTTCACACCCCACTAACCCTGGTCTCTGCCCCCCACTTCAAGCACTCCCCTGTCTGGGTACTATTTGCTTTACACACACGTTGGCCAGTGTATTTTTCCATCTTTGGAAATATCCGTGCTTGCTTGATGATGAGTGACTTCTCCACGACGGTCAGACTGATACCAAAATTTCCTCAATCCTTTTCCCAGGACCGTAGAAGCCCAAAATGAAATTCACACCAAAGAGAAAGAGAAGCTGATGGATACGAGTCAAGAAATGCAGGAGACCAGCGAGCACTTGAAGAAACAGTTTGAAACTGAAAGTGAGGTCAAGAGTAGTTTGCAGCAGGAAGCACCTCATCCCACTGTGGAGAACAGGGTGAGACGCCCTCTGACTTGCTGAGAAATGACTGCCTGTGCACAGGAATCACTGAAAGGGGGAGCTGGCCACCTGGAGCATCCAGTGAGCAGTGTCTGCTTTTTTGCCAGAGCAGCCTGTTTCCTTATCTCAAAAGACAGGTGGTCTCTGAGGTGACAGGTGCTGCAGGGGAGCCTGGGATTTACACGGACGAGAGTGGAGGGGCGGTGAGGTCCTGAGCACCATCCCCTGAGTGGCACCTGTCTGAGACGATGATTCTCTGGCCCAAAGCACGTTGAAGACGGCAGGCTGATGTGTGATCATCTCTGAGCACAGCTTAGCCTAGCAAAGGCCCATGCTTGCTTCTGGGGGTATGCCTTTCCTACAGTTTGCGGAGTTAAAATGTTCTTCCATGAAATGGTCATGATAGGAGATGACTGGCGTTTGAAATTGTGAAAGTCTTCATCAAATTGTAAATGTCCTTATTGAGTGAGTTGTGGGAACTCTTTGACAGTTCCCAGCAATTCTTCTGAAGTTGTGCTGGTTTGTGAAACCCACAAGACTGAGAAGCACCAGAGTAGCAGATGGGATGCTTTCCCGGGAGGTGGACAATCTCAGGCCCCTCCCTGGCCTGGCCGCCTCCAAGACCCCGACTAGGGGAGGGCTCAGCAGGGCAGTGGTCCACCTGGACCTGCCCCCGGGCCCTGCTCCCCACTGTCAGGGCCCCATGTTTCCTATCTCACAAGAGAAACATGATAGGGTAAAATCATATTTTACAGCGTCAGGATTTACCTTGAAGAGTAATTATAGATAAAAAGAGGAATCCAGAGAGTTTAACATTTAATAGAAGGTAATACATTCCAGTCAGGACACGTGGATGATGGCTCTTTTTGGAGGGGTCTGGCTTTCTCAGAGAATAGACTTCTGAAATCCCACCAGACAAGCAACTGCCAGCTGAACTTGTGTGGAAGGCTGTCCCACCTTCTGCCACTGTGCCTGTGTGTGTGTCTCTGGGTCTCAGCTGGTGGCAGTGGTAAGGAGGAAAGGGTAGGAGGGGGGGTCACATGTGTTGCACGTCTTGTCCTATGGGAGCCTTCCTTCCCTAGCTGTGAGAGTGTGGCTCTGCGTATTGTCAGTCCCCGAGTTGTGTGGGACTTTTGTGCATTTGTTTCCGGTGCTCCGGGAGCAGTGGGGTCCCACTCAGGAGCCCCCCTGTGTGTGTGGCTCTGCTCACAGGCAGGGAAGGGCCAGGCTGTTTCTTCTGCAATGTACCGAGCAGAGGAGCAGTCATATCCACGTGGTCATTCCAACAAATCAGTTGCCTCAGTGTTACAAACGAACAGATGAGTATGCAACAAAAGAATACCATTTCTCTCTCTTCAGTGGTGGATTTTGCCTGCAAATGAGATTAAACTGTATTAGTTTCCCAGAACTACCATAATAAGTTACCATAAACTAGGTGGCTTAAAACAACAGAAACTTGCACTCTCACAGTGTGGAAGCCAGAAGTCCAAATTCAAGGTGTGAGCAGGGCTGCACTCCTCTAAGGTCTCTAGGGAAGAGTCCATCCTTGCCTCTGGCAGCTCCTGGCGTTCCTTGGTTTGTGGCAGCATAATTCTACTCTCTGTCTGTGTCTTCCCTCTGTGTGTCCTTTTCTGTCTGTTATAAAGACAGTCTCAACTGGATTTAGGACCCACCCTGGTCCAATATGATCTCACATTGACCCTTAGTTTAATGGCAAGTGCCAAGACCCTATTTCCAAGTAAGGTCACATTCTGGGGTTCTAAGTGGACATGATTTTGAGGGGACACTATTCAATCCACTATATTATCCTTTGAGTCAAAAAAAAATCCTTATTAAAAAAAGAAAAAAGCTTTAAGTGATCATCTCATTATTTTTCAAATAAATTTAAAATTAAAACTAGGTATTATTTTTGCCTCTCAAATAATAATGATCTTACAGTGCTGGTGAAAACACCCTGAAGTGGGCTGTGTCACACATAGTTCCTGGGGACTGAAATTGGTGTCAGCTTTCTCAGGAGTGGTTTGGAGGCAAATATCAGGAACCTCTGAAAGTGCGTTTTCTTTGACTTGGTAATGTAATTTCTAAGATTCTATTCTAAGCAAGTAATTGGATATGTGGACAAAAGGATTTTTGTTTAGAGTGGTCAGCATAGTGTTATCAGTCATAGCAAACAAAAAAAAAAGGAAAGAAAAGGAAAAAAGGATGTTCAGCGACAGTGGGCAGATTTAATTATTATATAATCATGTGATTTAGCCATTAAAATGACAGTTTGATATGTTATCAATAAAGGGAAGTATCTGCAGAGAAATGAGAGAGAAGTACAGGATTTTAACTTCATATGCAATGTGACCCAATTTTATAAAATGTATATGTGCCATATTAGAAAAAAAGAATGAAATAAATCAACATGTGAACAGTGATTTCCTCCAGGTTCTGGACTGATGGGTGGCTTTTTAAAAAAATTATTAGATGTTTTTTAAAATAGACTCTAATAGGAGGGAAGAAACAGTACCTACACCTGACTGTAAGGCCAGATGAAGTTCCTGACAAGGTTAGCCAGGGACACAGAACTGTAGCAGGGAGAGGTGGCCTCTGAGGAGAAACAACACACTTCCCTCGGCCCTGGGAGTCCCCAGAGGGCACGTGACTGATGGTGGGCACTGCTGGATTGGAGAAGCCTGAATCCTTTCTTTGTCAAAGCCCTCAGAACTGAGGAAGAATTTAAAGATTCTCTGCCCTCTGTAGGAAGAATTTATGGGCATCCAGGACTCTTGTGGTTCTTGAGCCAAGTTCAGCACCGGCAGGGCCACCCCCTTATCAGGAAGGAGAGGCAAAGTGGGGACCCAAATCTCTGACGTTCCTGTCGACCTCCAGCCGCTGACATCCAGAGAGCCCATTTTCACACCTGCATATTTTTAAATTCTCTACAGTGGGCTTTATTTTATTAAGGGAAAATTAGATCAAGATAAATGTGATATATCCATACGATAGGATGTTATTCAGACACCAAAAGCGGTGAAGTATGGATTCATGCTCCAGCAGGGATGAACCCTGAAAACGTAATGCCAGGTGAAAGAAGACGAACATGAAAGGCCACATATTGGATGATTCCATTTATAGTAAATTTCCAGAACAGGCAAATACATAGAGACAGAAAGCAGATCAGCAGTTGCCAAGGGCTGGAAGAGTGACAAGGAGGTGACAGCTAAAAGTTAGGGGTTTTTTGATGTGATGAAAATACTGTGGAATTAGATAATGGTGATGGGTGCACAGCTGGCTATACTAAGAAACCATGTAGTGTGTGTCGTGTGGCATGTGAATTATAGTTCAGGAAGGCTATTACCAAAAAATAGATAAGGAGCTCCTAAGCTAATGTCCTTGTTTCTTTTGATTTCTGTAGGATCTTGAGGAAGAGTTGGACATGAAGGACAGAGTGATTAAAAAGCTACAAGATCAAGTGAAGATTTTGACCAAGACAATTGAAAAAGGTTGGAAAAATAACTTTCACTTTCCTATTTTTTTGAACTTTCAGCTGAGGTCAACATGTGTTGATGTGTTATTTGCTGGTTTTTGAAAACCAGGGGATGAGTCTCAACTGGTGGGTTTGGAGCTCAGGGATGGGCTAAATGATCCTTCGCGGCAGGCAGGTAGCTCACCACCCCCCACATAATCCCAGACCCTCATGTAACTGTAAGGGGTACCGTATAAAGAATACTTTTAACCTCTTTTTCTATTAGCTCTCCCCTTGTGAAAATGAAACTGAACAAATTTCAAATTTAATTGCTTTAAAATTCATGTTCTCTCCCAGTTACATGGGATCAATATCCCAATTTCTATTAGAAAAAAAGAAGTAGAGAACTAAAAAGCCAGACATTAGTCCTGAACATGAACTGAACTTCACACCGAGGGTCCTCATGAGCTCCTGGGAAAAGGACCACCCCCACATCTTTCTTTCCTTCTCCTGCTTCTGTGTCTGAACTGTTCTGACTTCCCTCTCCTAACGCTCTTTGCTCTTTTGTTCAGTAGTGCGTCTTCCTCCCGGCCTTTATCACTGAGGCTGTATCTTCAACTCTCTGTTCCTTTTTCTATACTCAGTCTTTGAAGGGCTCCTTTGTTGTTATTTATTCAACTCACATCTCACATTTAAAATGTCCAAAATGAAAATGAGGATCTTTCCCACTCAGTAATAAATGGTACAGGTCAGTCTGCTCCATGAGGGCAGAGACCGTGTCGGTCCTTGCCATTGCCCCCGTGGTGTCCCCATTGTTGGAATGAATGAGTGAGCTGCCATCTCTACACAAGGACTTCCAAAATCCACTCGCCATTCCTCACTTTCCCTGAGTCCTGGTCCCTTTCTGCTTCTAACTCTACTCCTTCACCTTTCTGTTATCACCTTCAACCCAATATGTTTAAAGTGGGATTTAGACATTGGCTTCCCTTCCTGTGTTATCTATTGTCATATAACAAACCGTCCCAAAATTTAGCAGCTTAAAACAAAAAACACTTAACAACATGCAGTTCTGGAGCTTAGGAATCCAGAAGCAGCTTAGCTGGGTGGTTCTGGCTCTGAGTTGCAGTCGAGCTGTGGGCAGAGATGCAGTCATCTGAAGACTTAACTGGGGCCGGAGTGTCTGCTTCCTTGCTCATTCATGTGGCAGTTGTTGGGAAGCCAGTGTCTCTTGGACACTCCCTGGGTGGCACTAGCTCCCAAGGAACATGCTCAGATACAAGTCACCGCCCTTAAAAAACATTCAAAGTATGATATTCTGATCAGGTATTTCTGCTTCATTTCTTGTTCTTCCTGATCCAGATGCAGTTCACCAATGAGAGGTCATTCTTATCATAAACAGGTTGCTTAATAAAGCCACTAACGTTCTACCTTTATCAGTCTCCACGGAGGCAGAGCTAGAAAATCAACAGGACACACGCTCATGCAGTGGGAGAGTGTTCTGTTAACTCTCTACCTGCTGCATCTTCTTTTTCACCCATCAGAGCCTGCTCACTTTTCTTGGCCCCGCTGGAGTGGTACCTCCTTCCAGAAGCATTTTTCAACGGTCCCAACCCACCTCTGCATAAATCCTTATGTCCCCTGTATTCATTTCCCATGGCTGCCTAACAGATCACCATAAAATTCGTGGCCTAATAGAACATAAATTTATCATCTCACAGTTCTAGAGGTCAGAAGTTCAGAATGGTTTTCACTGGGTTAAAATCAGCATGTCAGCAAGGCTTCTGGAAGTATTAGGGGGAGAGTCTGTTCCCTTGCCTTTTCCAGCTCTAGGGGCCTTCCACCTGAGTCTCCTGGCTTGTGGGCCTCTTCCATCTTCAAATTCACCAGCATAGTATCCTCAGAATCTTTCTCTCTAACCTGTGCTTCTATTGTCACGTCACCTGCTCTGCTCTGTGATATGATGAAGTGAAGGATCTTGAGATGGGGAGAGTATCCTGAATTATCCAGGTGGATCCAATGTAACGGCAAGCGACCTACCTTATAAGAAAGAAGCAGGAGTGTCAGAGTGAGAGAAGGTGATGTGATGATGGGAGCAGAGAGAGAGAAAGATGTGATGGTGGAAGCGGAGGTCAGAGTGATGTGGCCACAAGCCAAGGAGTGTAAGTGGCCTCTGGAAGCTGGAAAAGGCTAGAAATAAGTTCTCCCTCAGAGCCTCCAGGAGAAACATAGCTCTGCTGACACTTTGATTTTAACCTTGTGAGATCTCTTTTATTCTTCTGACCTCCAGAAATGTAAGATATTTTAAATTGTGTTGAAGAAAATTGTATGTTATGCCACTAAGTTTGTGGCACCTTGTTACGGCACATAGGAAACCGGTCCAGCCACCTTGGAAATCATGCAGTTTGGTGCTTTGCACACCAAATGTTTTGTGAATCTCATTTCTTTACCTGTAGCATCAGCATCCTGAAGGCAGGAGCAGCACCCTGGATTGCTTTCCTATTGACTCTTATCCCCAGGTATCATGGGGCTTCCCTGGAGGATAACACAGCCTTTTCAGCAGCAGCTGCGCTCACTGGTGCACTCACAGATAAGAGTCACTACCAGGAGAATCCTTCAGGACTCAGTAAAGTTTGCATTTATCAGAAAGCCGCAGGAGTTCAAGTGCTAACCAGGCAGAATGGGTTATGGAAAGAGACAGAGCAGTCTCATTATAAAGCCTGTGGAAGTTGTATTTGTGCATTTAGCTGATTGTTTTGCCTCTGCCCACAGCCAATGATGTGCACCTGTCCTCGGGACCCAGGGAGTACCTTGGAATGCTGGAATACAAGAGAGAAGATGAGGCCAAGCTCATTCAAAATCTCATTCTTGGTAGTGAAACCTGGAACTCTGAATTGTTGCTTTGGGAAATGAGCATCAGTTGTTGCCGCCGTCCTGGGCCGGAGCAGTCCCTCTTCTTCCTCCACTGCTTCTCCGCCTAGCACAGAGTTTCTTGGCCTCACCACTGTTGACCAGATAATTCTTTCTTTGGGGGCCTTTGTCTTGTAGGATGTTGCACAGTATCATTGGCTTCTGTTCTCTGGAAGCCAGTAGCAACCCCTAGTCATGATCATGAAAACGCCCCCAGACGTTGCCAGATGCCGTCTGGGGGTGTCCTGCCTTCAGCTGATATGCACTGCCGTAACCTCTTCCCAAGTCCAGTCACACGGTCTGTGTAGAGGACACATCACCTCACCTTTGCGTCTCAGCACAGCAGCCAAGAGAGGGGTCATTGTGGCCCCCGTGCTCCATTTGACTTCTGCTGAGCAGTTTACTTCAGGCGGCATGATGGGGGCTTCCCAGCTGCACCTCAGTCACAGGAGTCTCCCAATGTGCATGCTTCAGGATTGGTGGTCTTAGAACCAATCTTGCTAGACTGTCTTCAGTGTGAAAACCACGTGGTTTTCCAGAAAGTAAGAGAAAAGCTGTCTCCCTATCAGCTGGTCCCAGAATCTCAAAGCAAAACTCCCATGTGTAGCCTTACTCCTCTTCTCCTAAGCGGCTCCCTTCAGAGCACGTCAGCCCCTACCCTTTCCTCTCTACCCCTGCTGGAGCACAGGGGCCTCTTTGTTCCCCCGTCTTAATGCGGGTACTGGGAGGTCTTTGTTTGCCGGTCTTACCTTGTCCTATAGTTTCTCTCTTTTCTTCATCCCCACTCTGTCTCCCTGCCATCCTCTTCACCTTCAGACCCGCTAGTCCTCCTCTGCAGGACTGTTGTGTGGCTGCTTTCTCTATTCAAGACGGGTGCAAGTGACCGCTGAGGTCTTACTCCATCCTCATCATAGAGGCTGACATGGGGTGCATGGAACTGGGGTTCCTCTCTTACCTTAGAGATCTGAAATCCAGGGTCTTCACACCAGGGAGGAACACAAATTCTGTCTTTTATTCAACTTAAAAAAGAAAAAGCACTTGGCAAGTGAGAAGTAAGAGGAGCAGGTGATACCTTTATGTCTATTTTTGCCAAGAAAAGAGCCAGACTGAATTCCTCAAAAAGACAGGCACCCCAATGCATCTGGGCACTGCATCAAGTACAATAAAGCAGACAACCCCTGTTCCATAGTCAGAGGTTCCCCAGGGGAGAGCTGACCGTCAGCTGTAATCCTCATCGACTCTCTCTGCTCCAGACCTGAAGCCCCGTGGTGTGGTGGTGAACATGATCCCCGGGCTTCCAGCTCACATCCTGTTCATGTGTGTGCGCTACGCAGACTCTCTCAATGACGCCAGCATGCTCAAGTCCCTCATGAACAGCACCGTTAATGGCATCAAGCAGGTGGTTAAGGTAGGAACCTTTGACATTGACCCTGAAGGCAGGAGCAACCTCTTCTGTTGCTTTCATATCCCTGCTGTGCTCCACATTACTTACGAGGATTAACCTTCCTAGGTTAACCACGTGATTCCCCAAACCAGCCTGAGGACCCACCAGTGAAAGCAGCCAGCCACGCTGTTAGGAAAAGCACCTTAGGGCAGAGAGCCCTAGGGGTGGGGATCTACTGATAGACCTTAATCTCTTACTTGTAAGACCGCAACCCTGTCGCCTCCACCCCACCACTTCTGCCCTCTTAGGGGTGAAATTCCTGGCTGCAGGGAATACGTGTCTATCCATGTAACAAGTGTGAATGCCGAGGAATGGGAAAGACTGAAAAGTTACTCATCTCTTCCCTTCGCATGAATTTAATTCTCCCTTAAAAAAACTACAGCCCCTACTTTTATTCCCAGCCCAGAAAGGAAGAAGTAAAATATAGAGTCGTTATTTGTCATCCCCTTTCCAAATAAGAAGCAAGTTCGATTCTGAGATGTATTTGATTTTTTTTAGTTGGGAAGTCTTATCTCACATTCAGTAAAATATGTAAATCCTATTTTAAATACTCCAGGAAAAGGGAAGAATAAAAAGAGTGAATGAATGAGAGGTTAGGGGATGGGTAATTCTTCCCTCCCCCCACCCAACCCCCCAAAAGGTTTTATATTAAGAATTCATTATCCATCAGGAGTTAGGAGTGGAAAACTAGCATTGATTTGGTGCTGGGTGCTTCATAGTCACTGTCTTCAGGGGAGCTACCAAGGTGTTCTTGGGAGAGACGTGCACAAATTGTTGTTTTCCCTGTCCATATTTGCCTAGATTGGGTTTTCTCAGGACACACTTGTGTTCCAGGCCATAGGCACACAGCATGTCCCCCGTTTCGCTGCCCTGGAACCTTTAAATCCTTAGAAACCGAAAGAGGCGTGGCGTGAGGAGTGTAAATCCTTTCTTGCCAGCAACTTCTCCAGTGGCTCCCTGCCGCCCCCAGCCTGCCATCCAGTGCACAGCATGTGAAAGCAACCCTCACTTGGTCCACAAACCCTCTCGGGCCACTAGGCCTTTTTCTCCACCCCCCCACACCCCCGCTGCCAAAGTACTTAAAATAGTTGTCCCCAGTTCTCTTTCACTCCTTGCAATCTGACTTCTTCCCCTGTCACTCCACGGAAGGATAACCAGTAGTTCCTCGTGCTGAATCCAATGGTATTCCCGTAATTTTTATTTTCTTTAAATGGACTGATCTGGTAGCACCATCTCTTTGAAACCCTCTGACCTTGTCTTTCGAATCCCATCACTTTCTCACTTTCCTCTCACCTCTCTGATCACTGTCCCTTTGCCTCCTGTGCTTGTTCTTCTTCTTCCAGCCCCATAAGTTGAGGGAATTATTGCCAACAGAATCCTTAAGCTTGAGCTCTTGTCTGTCTACCCTTTCCTTCAAGGGGGACATCCTCCCACCTCTCTTCTGAGGTGTCCTCAGCTGCCCTGGTTCCCCATCATATAGGCACTCGGCCACCTGTTTACCTGTGTACTTACATGTGTCACGTCCGTCCATCTCCCCGGTCAGATTGTGAGCTTTGGAGGGCAGGGACCGAGACTTACATTTCCCAGGCGTTCCTGGAGCACCTGCTTCAAATGTCATAACCTGCACAGAAATACTTCGCAAACTATAACCCGCTAACTAAATATGAGCTTATCTTTGTAGTTTAAACTTAACAAAGGCTCTAGTGAATAAAAGAGGAGTTCATTTTGGTCAAAAGCCACCAGCTAACCAAACAGGTAAAATATGTCTGTTCTTGGTTCAGAGTAATCACCAAATTCAACTTTGCCTTTTCTTGGTTTTTTGTTTTTTAAGGAACATTTAGAAGACTTTGAGATGCTGTCATTTTGGCTTTCCAACACTTGTCATTTCCTCAATTGCCTGAAGCAGTACAGTGGAGAAGAGGTAGGGACGCTCGCCTGCTCTGTGTTCTGTGCAGACTGCCGGTCTCACCGCTAGGAACGGAAACACCCAGCTCCAGGGACAGCCCCCGCTCCAAATGCCTTTCTGGTTTCCTTCCCACCTGGGAGGTCAAATTCACATGTGTTTGGATGGAAGTCACAGGCAAGAGACTTTGAGAAAGAGGCTTAGACCTTGGGCATGCTACTAGCCTCAGTTTCCTTGACTTAAAAATCCATGAGATGGATTCAGTGATTTTTTTAAGTTTCTCTTTGGTTGTCAAATTCTGAAGTTTTAATATTATGGCTCTAAAATACAACCTTTAGTTCAACATGCCTGTTTCTTCATAGCTGTTCTCTCTACAAGATTCTGATTGTTTCCTCCATAATTTATAAATCCTTTGCCCTCCTGGCTCTGCTTTCAAGAGGCTGACCTCATCAAGAAGTTCTCCCTCTTCAAGTACTCACAGAGCAAAATTTCATTTACCTAAAATAGAAATGGCTTTTAGGGTTTTCACTGCTCTCCAAAATGGTTATACCATTTTATAGTCCCAGTAATAATGTATGAAGGTTCAGTGTCCCAGACCTTTACCAACCTGGGTATTGATAGACATTTTATAATTTACCGATCTCATGATCATCAAATGATACCTTGTTGACTAAAATTGCTGTGAATTGATCATCTGTGAGGTCAAGCATCATTTCATTTGCTTACTGCTCACCTGGGTTGCCTTTTAAATTGCCTACTCACATCCTTTCTTCATTTTTCTTAGAGTGATTTTTTTTCTTATTGATTTGTAGGAGGTCTTTACATATTATAGATAGATTGTGGCTTATCTTCTAACTTTCTTTATGGAGTCCATTGTCATACACAGTTTTTGAAGCTTGTTGTACTTAAATCTATCAATTCTGTCCTTTTATGATTTAATATATGTCTTAGTGTCTTATTCAAGAAATTCTTCCCTGCTCTGAGTTCATGAAATTATTCTCTCTCTTCTAAACTTGTAATTCAAATTTAGAGTTCACAGTTAGGATTTTATCCAAAATTGGTGTGATTATTTACCTACCCCCAACTGACATGTGAGGTAATGATCTCATATCTTCTTTTCCATGGGTAGCCAAATGTCCCAATGGAAAGTAAAATAAAATGTAGAAGTAATCCTATTTCTACTCATAGGACAAAAGGAGAAATAAGTAAAGAAAATCCAGCCTCTGACTAAAAGGAATACCAAAGTGGGGTCACAGACCAGTCCATGTAAGACAAACTGGCACTTGTGGGGCATTCATGGAAGACAATACTGTTTAATACCATTTTTTAAATCTTTTATTTGCCCCCTTCAGCCATGTATACAATATTGTTGTCCCTGTGTGTCTTTTTAATTACTATATTTTTATATCTAAAATGTCAACAGTTCTTTTTCACCTCTGCTTCTTATTTTAATGTCCTATTCTTGTCATAATGTTTTCTTTTTCTTTTATCTCTTCAAACATGTTAACCATCCTGTATTAGTCTGCTTGGGCTGCTGTAACAAAATACCACAGACTGGGTGGCCTAACCCACAGAAGTTTGTTTTCTCGTAATTCTGGAGGCTAGAAGTCTGAGGTCAGGGTGCCAGCATGGTTGGGCCACTGGTGAAAGCTCACTTCTTGGCTTGCAGGTAGCCACCTTCTCATATGTTCTCGCATGGCCTTTCCTCAGTGCATGGGGTTGGAGAAGGCGAGACTGAGCTTTCTCGTGTCTCCTTTTGTAAGGACACTAATCCTGTCTGATCAGGGCCCCTCCCTTATGAACCTATTTAACCCTAATTACTTCCTTGGAGGCCCCATCTCCAAATATAGCCATCCTGGAGGTTAACGCTTCAATATACAGAGCTAGGGGCAGGACACAAATATTCAGTCCATAGCACACATTTGAAAACATTTCAGATTGATCTACACTCTGTGACTATAAAGTTATGAATCTCATTTATTGCATCTACTGACTTCTTACAGCGGTTTGTTTTCTTGGGGGCTGTGCAGTTTTCCTGTGAGCTTCGTGGAAGTTGTTTTCCACTGTAGTCTATAGGCTTGGGGCGGGGAGAGGGGGCACATGTTTGGAGGGGAAGTAAACAATACAGTAATACTTACAGTTGACCCTTGAGCAATGTGGGGGTTAGGGGCGCCTACCCTCAGTAGATAACTTTACATTCAGCCCTCCACATCCCCAGATCCACATCCTCAGATTCAACCAACTGCAGGTCATGTAGTACTGTAGTGCGTATGTACTGAAAAAAACCCACATACAAGTGGACTCATGCAGTTCAAACTGTGTCATTCAAGGGTCAACTGTAGTTAGTTATAGAAAATAAATGCCACCCTGAACATCAAGAACTCATTTGATACAAATCAAACATTAATTTGCAAAGTGTAGGAGTTATAATAGAAGCTGATTATGATATCTTTAGTAGAGATAGAATTTTAATTTTATTCTGATATTTCTATGCTCAAAATTACTTTCAGGAGTTCATGAAGCATAACAGCCCACATCAGAATAAGAACTGCTTGAACAATTTTGACCTTTCAGAATACAGACAGATTCTTAGTGATGTGGCTATCCGAATATACCATCAGTTCATTATTGTAATGGAAAATAACATTCAGCCAATAATAGGTAAGAAAAGAATTGATGCCCAAGAAATATTTATATTAACGTCGATAACCTTAAAAAAATAAGTCTGGTGTATAAAAATGTATGGTTACAAAGAACACAATTTTAAATCAAATTTTAATAGTGAAAATGTATATTTTTTAATCATTTGTTTGCTTGAAATGATTATATATATGAAAGTACCTGGGTCACAGTTTTCTTTCTGTAAGGGGGATTCACCCTGAAGGGAAAGACTTGGGAGAATTGCTGCTCCTCGTGTGGCTAATCCTGGTTCTTAGTCACGTATTTTTGAAATTCTAAAGACCCATTCAAATTCTTATATATGTTCTTCAATTTTCTGAAATTTAAATACTTCAGGCTTTAAATGGTTCCAGACCATAAGTTGTCATGCTAACCGCCTCTGTCTCCTGTGAAATTGAAAGAAGAGGTTCTCCACACCCTGCTGTAGACAGCTGTGTGCCCCCATCCGCCTCACACCCCTGGGCCCCCCAACCTCCATTCTTCTGCTTTCTCTGTCACAAATACAGGTGGAAAATGTCCCACCTCCTGAAACAGACACACAAGTGCAGTGGACATGTCCTCTGGGTGTCCCCACCGTGTGTGCAAGAAAAGCTTCCATTTTCCCCCTAGTGCCCGGCATGCTGGAGTTTGAGAGTCTGCAGGGCATTTCCGGCCTGAAGCCCACAGGCTTCCGGAAGCGATCATCCAGCATAGATGACACGGACGCCTACACAATGACATCCATCCTGCAGCAGCTGAGCTACTTCTACAGCACCATGTGCCAGAACGGCCTGGACCCCGAGATCGTGAGGCAGGCAGTGAAGCAGCTCTTCTTCCTGATCGGGGCGGTCACCCTCAACAGCCTCTTCCTGCGCAAGGATATGTGCTCCTGCAGAAAAGGGATGCAGATAAGGTAAGACCCATAAACTAGCACCAACCCTGGAGAGGCTGGCTGGAAAGGATGCTCTTCAAGTCCCGGGCCACAGTCCTGCCCCTCCCTCCACAAGAGCTGCACTGGGTATGCAGAGTATGCAGGATGACTCTCAACACCTGGAGATGTGGGTCCTCTGATGCCCAGGCACTCCTCCCACCACTCTGCACGATGCTAACTTGATGCTCCGACAGAGTGGCTTCAACTGGGAACTCATAAGTGTGTATTTTAAATTCTGTCCCTCTGTGTCTATCATATACTCAACTAATATGTATTGACCACCACCTCTGTGACTAACACTGCTGGTGGGGGACACAGGAAACAAAGGAAAGGGCGATTTGATCCCTGCTATTGAGAAGCTAAATGATGATTCAAGGCCGCTGTGATTAAACCGCAAACAAGTGGTGCAGGAAGTGCTTCAGAGAGGAGAGATTATTGTGGACAGAAAAGTTGAAGAAGCCTGAAAACTGTGTGTGACTGACTGAATATGGGAGAAGAGCATTCCAGGCAGGGGAATGAGTGGGCCAAGGCAGTGGTGGAGCTGAGTGAGGACCCTCCTCAGCAAGAGCACACAGCTCGGTCTAGATGAAGCAGAGGTTTGTGTCAGGAGCAGCAAGGCCATAGTTGAGGGGCAAGTTGGGCCCAGACTGGGAGGCTCTGGGATGCCAGGCTAAGGCCCTGAGAGTCCATCCTGAGGAAGTGATGATCCACAGTTTTGAGCTGTGGACTTCTCTTTATCTCTAAATTGAGGAAACATGGACCATGAGCTGTTGTTTGAATGAACACTGTCACATGATTAGAGAGCATATAGTATGGGGTAGATATTCAAGATTTTTCTAATACGTACAGGGATTTGATACCTGTATGTGATAGGAGAACCTGGGGCAGTGATGATGGCAGTGAGATAAGAGAAAATGACGGAAAGGGTGTATTGAGCCAAGAAATAAATGTGAGGCATCCGTTACATCTTTTTAGTGTTAGTGAAGCTTGGAGTTAGACCTCCCTACAAACCAGTGTCGCAAATTCCCTTGACAGACGGTTGTGATTTTCAGAAATGAGGGGATAGTCAGAAGCACCGTGCTTTGTGGACCTTTCCTCTTCATTGAGAAAGGAAAGAGTTCTGTTAATTTTCCAAGCCCTGAGCAGATGCCCTGTAGGCCTCTGAAGTAGGCTTCTGGCCTCCTTTAAGTAAAGCTATAAACCTGCATGGGCCACCAGAGTCTGTGCTAAATAACTCTCATTCCACCAGTAGGTCCCCCAAGGTGAGTGAACAGGGACTCGAGCAAGATGCACAACTCCAGAACCCACAGCACCTGCTTACAGGGAAAACCCCATCTGTCCCCGTAGGTGCCCAGTCCTTTCTCCTCTCACCAGCTGAAAGTGGCCACCAGGGTAGCGCCGCCCTTCCAGGGTGTTGCTCTGAGTTTCAGCACGTGCATTTTAGAGGCATGTGTTCATTCAGATATTGATTGAGCTCCTGCTGTAAACACAGCACACCAGGATTTGCAGTGGCTTTGCCATGACAGCACGGCAGCCCAGTAACAGAACATGAACACAAGTAGGAGATCAAAGCTGAAGAACAGTATAAACAGTGGACAGAGTAGCTGGAAAACTGGCTCAGAGCCTTCTGACTGCCAGGAGGAAAAGCAAAACTCCATCAGCTCTCTGAGCCCATCTGGTATGGCAAGGCAGACCAGTTCCTGGGAAGAGAAAAAATTTCCCTAGTTCCTAATTTTTTCTGTTTCTAGTCATGAACTATAAAAATAAGGTCTCACGTGGAGCTTTCTCTCACCATCTCTGCAATAGCACTTTTACAGCAAGTTCCCCTGTGGCTGCTTTGCCTGTGGAGCCAGAATACTGTGGCCCGAGCGCAGGCATTGCTTGCTGGCCTGAAGGAATCTGGGATGAATACAGAAGGCCCTGATTTCAGTCTTGAAGGGCAGGTAGGATTTCAGCTGATCGAGAACTAGAGGGATGGACACAGGCCTCCATGAAGGAAAACTGAGGGCAGGGTGTGAATCGCCCCTTGCAGAGACGCACCAGGAGCAGTGGGAAACCTCGAGAGGTGGGCTAGAAAGAGAAAGTGGAATGGCAGCGGGAGAAACGCATGCGTCAGTGCCTCAGGAGTGGCAGCCGCCACAGATCCTTGCTTTACTTTTTCAGAAGGTTTTCAACTATGAATTCAGTTTCTTTAATAGTTGTAGGATTATTCAGTTTATAGATTTCATCTTAGATGCATTTTGGTAGTTTTTGGCTTTCAAAGAATTGATCCACTTCATCAAAGTTGTGGAGTTTATGTGTGTAGAGCTGTTCAGAATATTTCCTTATTTTTAGTTTCTGCAGAATGTGTGGTTCTACCCGCCCTTCCACTCTTCCCTGGGTAATCTGTGTCTTCTCTTTCCCTTGGTCAGTCTTGCTAGAGGTGTATCAATTTTACTTTGAAAAGACCCAGTTTTTGGTCTCGTTGATTTTTGTCTTATTTTTAAAATGTAATTGATTTCTGTTACTGTCTTTATGATTTTCTTCCATCTGCCTCCTTTGCATTTATTTTTCTCTTCTTCTGGTTTCCTGAAGTAGAAGCTTGTATCACTGACCCTGAGGCCTTTCTTTTCTAACATAAGCATTTAATACTACACATTTCTCTCTAAGCACTACTTCAACCCTACCCCACAAATTTTGATATGTTGTATTTTCATTTTTGTTCAGTTCAAAATATTTTCTGATTTCCCTCGAGTCACTCTTGGACCCAACACATTTAGAAGTATGTTGTTTAATTTCCAAGTGTTCAGAGACTTTCTTGTTACCTTTCTGTTATTGAATTTTAGTTTAATTTCATGTGGTTAAAGGACATACTTTGTCAAACTCTTAGAAACAGAAGGTAGAATGGTGGCTGTCTGGGGCTGAGGAGAGAGAGAAAAGGGGAGTTGTTCATTCAATGGATATAGAGTTTCAGTTTTACCAAGTGAAAATGTTCTGGGAATCAGTTGCGCAACATGGTGCATATAGCTAACACTGCTGTACTATACACTTAACATGGTTAAGATAATTTTATGTTATGTGTTTTCTACCACAATTTAAAAAAAATCTTAAGGTGCATACAGATTAAAATATACTGTAGATTATGTTACTAAAGTTACCAACCATTCTACTTTACCTGAGACTTTCGCAGGTTTATTTTTAAAATACAAACTTATACATATTTTTACGTTAAAAAAAAACTTTGTATGATTTCAATTGTTTTTAAATGTGTTAATATTTACTTTTATTACCCAGAATATGGTCTATTTTTGTGAATGTTCCAATGCAGATGAAAAGAATGTCTATTCTGCTGCTGTTGGGTAGAATGTTCTGTAAATGTCAAGCAGACCCAGTTTGTTGATGGTGTTTTTCAGTTCTTCTATATCTTTGCTGATTTTCTGTCTGTCAGTTCTGTTGATTGCTGAGAGGAGTGTTGAAGTCTCCAACTATAATTATGGATTTGTCTGTTTCTTCTTTCAATCTGTAAGTTACTGCTTTATGTATTTTGAAACCCTGTTCTTAGGTGCATACTTGTTAAGAATTGTCATGTGTTCTTGGTGTGTTGAGCCACCTTTTATTATGTAGAATCTCTCTTTATCCCTCCCTGATAGTTTTCTCTACTTTGAAGTCTGCTTTGTCTGAAAGTCTATTTTTTATTTGGATCAATATTTTCATAGTATACCTTTTAGCATCCTTTTACTTTTAACTTACCTGTATCGTATTTGAAGTGAGTTTCTTGTAGGCAGAATATATTGGGTCCTGTTTTTTTTTTTAATCCAGCCTGACAATATGCTTCTTAATTGGGGTATTTAGACCATTTTAATTTAATGTAATTATTGATATACTTAGATTTAAGTCTACTATTTTTTATTTTCTTTTTGTTCCGTCTGGTTTTTATTTCTCTGATTTCCTGTTTCTGTCTTCTTTCGGGTTCTTTGAACATTTTTGGTACCCCTTTTAAATTTATCTATTCTGTTTTCACTATATCTCAGTACATTTTTTAGTGGTTGCTCTAGGAATTACAGTATGCATACTTACCTTTTTCAGTCTACTTAGAATCAGTATCTTATCACACCAAGTGGAATCTAGAAGCCTTATCATCACATAGGCCCCTTTCCCCTCTTTGCTTTATGTTGTAATTGTCTTATGTATTACATCTACATACACCAAAAAACTCTGCCAGACAATGTTATA